GCATCTAGTTGCCATGGAACTTCACAGCTGTTTCTAGCAAACCCTAATGAGCTACAGCAGCTGCTAGTCTGCTAGGACACACACACACACACACACACACACACACTTATATCTGTACACATGATTACTTAAGGATGAGAGCTTGAAATTTCCTGCATGGACGCTGGCACTAAAGAAACAAGTTTCCACACAGCAGAGGGTATCGTCGCTTTGACAGTGATCCGCCTATAACATCTGCACATCTGGATGAAAACCCAGCTGCCTGGGAACAATGACTCTCAGCTTCACATAAAAGTTGTTAAAACCACTTGAGAATGGTTCACAGAACTCGCCAATGTCCCGAGGAAATTTTCCAGTGTCTTAATTTGATTGCAATATTCCTCTGACAACTGCGAGCAATAAGGCAGAAGACGATCAGGAGCCAGTCGACAACCTTCCTTCAGTTGGCTGCTGTTCTGAAGTTTGGCACTGAATTCTGGCTTTTGAAAAAACAGAAGTGAATGGGAAAGCCTGGGAACCAACTGTAACCAGGCTTACTTTAAAAACAACTCCATCTTCTACAGATTATACAGATAGCCACTGATATCATCCAGAGTTAAACCCATTCATAAAGGAATTAAATTGTCAGATTGATTCTATATTTTCTTGACCAATATATATACATAAAATATAAAGATAAACGTGGTTACAAACAAGAATAATGAAAAACGTCCTTGTTATTGAAGATGTAAACATAACACAATTAGAATGGTTCTCAGTAGAGCGCACGTCTCCTCCAAGCCCACCAACATTCCCCTAAATTCAATCAAGCTGGATGAAATTGCATAAACTCATAGAAATCAAACAGATCTCTTCATTATTACTTGAGAAATGAACAAAAATGTTGCAGCATCTGCCAATGTTAAAGAGTGGGAAAGAAAATCCATAGACAATAACTACACAACAACTCACTTCCACTGAGTCAAAGCTGAATAAACACTGTGTACATGACAAAATGGACTAAAAACCAACACAACATGCACATTGCGATGTTTTTTCATTCATCTGTGTAGGTTTCTGGTTTACTTTTCCAGGCCCTGCAGCTGCACCTCTCTTACACACTACATGCACACTTGACTTGCACCTTCACGCACACATACAGTTACATTCTGTACACAATGATGCTACAGATAGTGTTTCACACCTGCTCAGCCATCATCTTCTTTGGCAACCCCCGTCAATACCACTTCCTTCCTCCCATGGTGCATTGTGTGTGGCTCCCAATAACACTTCTTCAGCGACTTCCTCTTCTATGCTTCATCACAATTAAGATCCTCACTTATTAAGATACTTGTGTTTTTCAACAACAGAACAGAAATGATTGGGACAGCGAGATGCCTTAAACTAGTAACTATCACTGTGATTTCATGTCAGTGTGGGTTCTATTATTCAGGGATTTCAGCAAATGAACACAATACACTATGGCTTAGAAGATTCAGACTTTGCTAGTCAAGGTAGAATTTCTACAACTAAAAACCACTATTATCGAAAGCCAGTGGTAAAGACTGACTTGCTTCAACACCATTTAAATGGTAAAAAAAAAAAATTATTTCTCAGTCTGAAGCAGATAAAACCATAAAGGAAGAAACCAAGAGAGCTTGAATCTTCAGCTTTTATTGTAAATCATTGCTTTTGCCGCAATGTTCATTAACATAAAAAAAATCATATAATTGAAATGAAAGTCATATTTGGTTTCCAAGGCAAAAACAATGATTTGCAAAAAAATTCTCTAAATGTTTTGGTTCTCAAATGGTTTTATTTCATGTTTCCACCTGATTCAGAGGCAGAGAAATTAAAGAAAATTGTAAACATCAAATGCTTCAGGGTCAGAGTCCATTTTCAAACAATGCTTACGTTTTCAACAGTTGTTTAGAGGATGCCTTTGGTCTTGATGGTGGTGACGCAGTTAATGCACTTGCTGTACATGACTGTGCATTCACTTGCTTTTTCTGTTTTCTTTCCTCTTTTTTATGGTTCTCAACTGCGGCCCATATACTCATCAACCACAAAAACAAATATGTGCTCTATGCATGTGCACTGCATGTCATCATGACTTCCTGTTTGTGTACAGAACATTTTTCAATCTCCCAAATCTCAGTTCTCATCTGAAATGAGATAAAAGCGGCTTTACAAAAAAGGAAGCGTTTGACCATGTCCTTCCTCCGCTAAGTTAAGCCCTTAAACCACTTCTAAGAAAAGTCAGAGCTGGAGTGAAAGACCCGCAGCGACACATTTTTAGAAGAGAGCTACATTGTCATTACAAGTCCACAGTGTTTACCATTCGCCACACCTCCATTTAGCAAGGGCGAGAATCATTCCATAAACTTGTGACCCACTGTTCAATCACGGATGATTTTTTACAGTGTTAAATATTACCCTCTTTGACTTTCCTTTGGTTTTTGTTTCCAATTTTGACTTTCAGTGATGTTTGGCTGCTAATGTCCAATTCTGTAAACTTTACTTCAAATACTCTACAAGATCTGCCATCAATGAAATCAGTCAATAAATGGTAATATTATGGATTCATGGGTGAGTGTGTGTGGAAATCCTGCGAACCAGACCATCAGCCAAGTTAAAGACCTGCTGAAATTTTTACAGAGCAGTGTGAAGGAATCAACCAATGAAACCTGTGGACTACTATTCTTGCTGATCAACTAGTTCAACACTAAATGCCACATGTAAATGTGACATTTAACATTTGTCATTGTTTCTCTATCTTATCTGTTGAATTTATCTACTGCTTAGATACGAAGAAAGACCTGTTTTTCCCTTTTTAATCGGTCAGGTCAAACTAAGACTGCACAAACAGCTCCAGCTAAGTATTGTCTGTAAAAAACACATGGGTGACATTTAATCATAGCCTTTGTCCTGTAAAACTTACAAATTGCCTCAGGACACCTCACACACGGACGACACTTAGCAACACCTCTGGATGAAGTGCTGACACGTAGTCAATTGGTTTTTGATTTAACTGGTATTCTGGCTGAAGGACAGTTTCTGTGTCACTTCTACAACATGTTGACAGACGAGGAGTTGCCCTGAAGGAATATGAGCAGTTACTTAATTAACATACAAATAGACAAAGAGTCCTAACTACACATGGGGTTAAAAGTGCTTATACATGTCCCTCTCTCTGTTGCCCAGGGCCCACTGCCTCACAAATGAAGATGTGTCTGTCTTCTCCATGTCCCAAAGCCATTCATGAGCTCTCCAGTGTACACGTAGAAAATAATAGAATTAGTTGAGTCAAGAATTTAAAAAAGTTACTCAAATCCTGCCAACTGTCACACCTCCACACATGGTCAGTCACTGAAGCAAACACTCCTGTTCCAGTGTTAAAAATGTGGGTCAAACGCTGCCAACAAGCAATTTGTGTGAAGCCTCCAAACTGTGAAACAAGTGAACAAACTAAACTAAGCCAAGCTGCCAACCTGGAGAACCAATGCTCCAGTTATAGTCAAAAATAAAGTCCCCAGGAAACTGGAAACTTTAAAATCTGTCGCTTCTGTCCAGGAGCACTAAGACAAATGCCAGCCACCTTTGTATATTCAACGACTTAGAGCTTTTCCTGATACCAGTTCAAATGCAGCTCCAACACTGAACTTTTCTGTCAGATGTCATTCGCCCTGTTTTCTTTGCATGACCTTTCCCGTCACTCACTGCTTCCAGAAAAGCAGAAAAACATCATCCTTCACAGAAGAGCGGGGCACTACGGAGTGAGGCGAGGAGGCAGCTTCATGAAAGGGAACGTGGCCCCTGGCTTTTTCAGCTGAGGCCCGGGTCAGAGCGGAGAGCTACAGTAGTAATTACTGAGAGACTGATTGCTGACAGGACCTTCCAACAGCCTGTGGTTAAGTGGATGGAGCTGAGGGGGAGGAAGCTTCAAATGCACAGGAATGACAGACGCTCCGCTGATGACTTGTACTCCGGGGTGGTTCAGGGGCATGCATGCCATTTCGCTTTACTCATTCTCCTTTCAGAAGTTACATAAAACCAAATCATTTGAGCGTGTCTTACACTTATGAGACTTTTTGAAATTTTTTTGGAGGAAGGATCATAGTAGAAATGAGAGCAAATTACTCACTAAGATGGCATTCGTTCATTTTGTAGAAAGATCTTAGTTTTAAGTGTCTCATTAAACACCTTCAGAATTTGAGAAGTGTTTTTCGAGGCTGTTACCACCTGTCTTTTATTTATTTTAAATCAGCGCTGCTAATTTCTGAGACGATGTAATTTGTTCCAAGTTATTTTTGGAGTGAAACGCTTCAAAACAGCAAGTTGTCCTTAAACAGATTTGAAGCCACTTCACTGACAGAGTGGGAGGGATGTGTGATTGTGGCAGGCAAAGCATCGCCACAACTGGTACGGCGCACTGTTTTCCCAACTGCGTTATGCCCGCTTTTTCCCCAGGGTGGTCATTTGAGAGCCCCTGGGAACGTTCGTCATGACCATATGGATGTTCTAACCTGGTATTTTAGCAAACCAATCTGTCCCGTCCATCCGCCTGGTTGATTTAGCTGTTGTGACGGAGATGGCTGTATTTGCACTGGACAGTCTTTGTTCCAGTCAAGCACTGATACATAGCTGCAGTGGCTGGAACGCTGCTTGATAGTCTTTAAACTAGGTAGAGCAGTCAGTTTTGAGTTTCTCAATATCATCTTCTCGAGGACAGTGATTCTGTTTTTGCACATGTTGTGATAGGCAGGCTTTTATTATTTCAACCTAGTAGCAACTGAGCTACATTTCACAAACCAGGATCATAGAAGACACAAAACATTTCAGCAAATTGGACAAGCAGAGAAAATGTTGGCATCTGACCAACGGCCACAACAAATATCTGTCAGCAGCCACACTGAAGTGGAGAAAAACTGTGAGCTTGTCATGGCCGAACAAGAGGCTGTGTTTCATTAAGCTCACTGTATCTGCCTGAGTCACTGACCCAAGCTGCCACAATAACTTACCTCTGATGGTTTCTTGTGCTGGTGGCGAACCCATGTGCTGCTGGTGCCCGTATTCTTGGATGACCTGGACCATGAGGTCACCTGACCTGGAACAATAAAAGTAGACCACAATGATCACTGCAATTTATACAAACAAATATCTTTTTACATTATGCTCGGTGTTCTTGCGTTTAGTGTCAAATTTGTCTAATCTGACCCTTTCTTCCACAAGCTCGTGCCACAGTTGTTCAGACAAAGTGTTTCAAATCTTCTGGAGCAGAACACAAAGAGAACGTAATCTGTGTTTAATTTGTCAAGAATGAGCGTTCATGAGTGTAAATGCTGATTTGAAGTGAGGAAAATGAAGAACAGGGCTTTGGCTGGAGATCAAGACTTTTTGTACACGGCAAGCGCTCAAATTCACCACTTTATTGTCCCGTTGGAGGAATCTGTTTTGCAGAAAGGGTTTGCAGAATGAATATAAGAAGAACACTCTATCTTGGATTTGGTAAATCATTACAGAACAAAAAGCTGCTCATCAAGCTCAAGTTTTTAAATAAGCACATGGGTTAGTTTGAGCGTTAATAGAGAAGAAACCAAAAAACAACATCCGTGGCATTACAATCACTCCAAGTCAGACCTTTAATTGAAGCAGACTGATGATGATCTATTAAGGGGTGTAATAAGTAATGACAGTATAAATAGCCTCTAGTTAAGCAGTTAGTCCACTGTGGTCCTTTACAACCTCATTAATACAGAATTTAATGGCAATTAAACTGACAATGGCGCCAATATCCCACCCACTGCTTCAATCAGAGGCCCTGTATGTGTTTTTTTGTGCCCATGTATGTGAGTGATGCTATGGAGAGAAGAGCGGGAATGTGCGTAATATCATTCACGCTGTCATTCTATATTATTTTAAAACCTCTGCAGCAGATAAAGCCAAAAGCTCAATTCCATCTGTGCACTGTGAAGGAGGCGCCCATTAAAATTGCATCACATTGGTAATTAAATTACATCACAATGGCATAATGGAAAACAAATTTGCCAACACTGTGCAATATAGCACATTGTAACCATGACTGTGTGCGTGCAGGCTGCCTCCCACTCAACATATTTCCCTCGCCACCACAGGAGAACTGCCACCGCGCTAATTTTACTTGTGACGTCTGAACAACTAACAGTGCCGAGGGCAGAGCTGCTGTCAGGCTTGTCTTCGCAATTAACGAATCCCTCTCCCGACACACACACACACACACAAACACACAGTATATAAGGCTGCTAACAAGTACATGTATTTGCGAGATATGAATGTTCATATTCACCCCAAATTTTGCCCAAAATCACTCACTCTCCAATTCATTTGTTGTACAGTTTTATATACTCACCATTACACACACATATAAACACACAAGTTCACTGCCACAGCATGACAGGAAATATGACTTGACAGCCATGAGTGGGTAACAATTCCAAATTATTCCTCCGCTCAGCTGCTCTCAGTTAGACCGGTAGCGGATTTTAAAAGACAGATATGATATATTACTAAAGATTTGAGGAGAAAAACCTGACCTCTATTCTGAGTGGTGTCCTCCAAAGTGTACCACCGTACAGACTGTAGTGGGATGATGAGTTGCAGACTCTCGTCGGTGCAATAACAAACACATCAAAATCCAAATGCTGACACAGTGAGAGTGGCGGTGGCATTTTTAAACACATCTCAATTTGTAAAGCTCAACACTGGGAGAGTTTGGAGTGATGTGTTAGACAGCAGCGCTCTGCACTGCCATCATCAAAACACCACAGAGACTCAAGACAATCTCTGCCAACAAGCTGTGTGTGTGTGTGTGTGTGTGTGT